ACTGTTTGCAATTTCCTGGTTTTCTTAGACAAATATCAACAAACACAATATTTCTAAGCTGATAAGAGTCATATGTGATTGATTAATGAGTGATTGATCACTGTCTGGCAGTAGCTTAGGACTCATCAGTGCATGAATGATGTTTTTCCATCAAGAACCACAGTGGAAATACAATAAGCCTAAACACAACATTTTGCAGTTATGTGAGTCACTAGGCCTTCTGTCTCTTTGTGTCACATACACCAAACTAAACTGGGATACAAAAGGAGATTAGTGATACTGATTTGGCAGCTTTGGACATGTTCAGAAACTGTCAGCGAGTTAGGATCGGCAGACCCACAGAGAAAAGGCTAGGCAGTTAGGAATATGTTGTGCCATGGCAGCTATGACATGCACCCTGGTCGTGTGGTGGCGACAGTGTTTCATTGTGTTAAAAGATAACCTTTGAATACTTGAGGTGTAATTAGGGGATTTTTAAAAAACACAAATGTGAAGTCGATTTATTTTTGTTTTAGTAATGATGGAGTGTTTCAGTGACTTCATTATAAGAATGAGTAACAGGTTTTTTCCTCTTTGGGGCATGTGTTGACAGCAAAGTGCCTGTGAGTCAACACAGCTCCTTGTCAAGATGAATTCAGTCAGTTAAAAGGTCGGTGTCATTCCATCGGTGTGGGGGTGTGAAATCCAACTCTTTTTGAGGTGTATAGAAATAACACACACGTTGGATTTTTGAGGAATCTAATTAGGGAAGATTTAGCAGCACATCTCAGATCAACCGCTCCAGGCTGGCTCACTCTTGACAGACAATACCACTGCTGGCAGCAGACTGACATGCTTTACCTTCACATGTGTGAATGGAGAAACAAATTGCACACACACACTCATGCGGCAGGTTTGAAAACATCCCACCTGTTTTTCATGGGATCGGTTTCCAGCCTGGTGACATATTTACCAGCCAGACATTTTGAAAAGGAAATCCTCCCTTTGGCCCTGAAATTTGGAATCCAACTCTATAGTGAGGGGCCCTCGGTGAGCATATTCAGGCCAGCTTCAGTGTCCAGAATGACAGGAGCTTCAGGACAATAGACTGGAACAGTTGATACAGTGAGGAGTACAGCCTGGAGGCCAACAGGACTCGTCTGTCGACTAAGACGCTTAGGGGGGACAGGATCATCAAAAATGAAGACAGCAGAAACAAAGGGACTACTTGGTATTGTACCGAGTGAGACATCTGAACACTATCAACTGTAAAATAAGCAAAAACTGCTGGATCCATCTGTAAGTTCATCCAGTGCAGAGTGAGGCTACTGTCAGACTAAAGGAATGATTTGGCATTTTGAATATATGACTATTTGCTTTCAGATTAGATAAAAAGATCAATACCACCCTCACATACATACGTTAAAAAGTCATACTGCTAGCATTAGGTTAGCTTAACCTAGCATAAAGACTTGAAATGGGGAAATCAGGCACTAAAAGACCAGTTTTACCAAAGCTCACAAATTAACATGATGTATTTTGTTTAATCTGTACAAAATCAAAGTGTGAACACCACAATCAATGTGTTGTTTTTACACTTCTGTTTCCAGTCTTTATGCTAACATAAGATTTCACCTTCGTAGCTCATTATATAAATAGCAAAAAATGTTTGCTATTAAATACTATTATATACTAATATACAATTACATAAAATTAATGTGTATAAATAATAACAATGGAACTGTAAAATAATCCAATAAACTATTCAAACTCAGCCCACTGTAATAAAAGATTAATTGATTGTGCTTCTCTTCACAATACCAAAGTTTTCTTTCAGGTTTTTTCTTTATTTAATGCAGCAAGTTTTTAAGTCAAAGGCTATTTTTCCAAAGTCCCAGTCATGCCCAATTTTATTTTTTTCCTGGACTTTGAATGTCTTAGCAACCTTGAAATGAATAAAGTAATGAATAAAGGACTTTCCACTGTCTTGGAAACGTCTGGTGCCCAGAGGCCATTTAGCCCTGTCATAGGCCTGCTGGCCCTTTTCCACCATCACCACAAGCAAAGGCTTAACCACACAGTGAAACTGCTGAGTCATACCTCAACTGTACATTAAATCACATTTTTCACACGTCATCCCATCTTTCAGATAACAAAACATCTCTTTCTAGCAGTTCAGAACAACAGTAAACTCTATCAATACATCAGACCACACCAGGTGTACTGTAGAGCATACCGATGCCAGAATAACAAGCATTAATATTAATCACGACTTTACTGAGGAAGACAGGTCAGCATCTCTGTTTTGACAAATCTCAATTCCATTTTCTCCAGCTGATACAAACAGCATCAGTTATGAAATCTGCCATCTACTCGATAGGGGCAGATCTAGAAAAATTTGGATGGGGTAGCCAGGCTGAGGCACAGAATCAGAGAGAGGTGGCACGTTAGAAATAAATGTAATGAGTAAATGAAACCCTTAATTCAATGAAATAATAAGCTATTTATTTGGTGTAAAAATGAAGGTGCAGTCTGTTAGTGAGGCTTGGACTCATGACCTCAGTGTTTCTATAATGCTACAGCTCAGCTAATGATCATTTTACTTCAAAATACCACTTTATCCCAGAGTCTCACGGCCACCTGAGGTGACACACGGTCTGATACCACTCTCAGGTCCTAGTCATCAGTCCTCGGGCATCCCACCATTTCAAAATCCTCTGTTAGTTTTGCTTTGTGTCGCAGTTTCGCAATGATGTGGGAAATATACATGAATGAACTAATACTTTCAGCTATTGTTAAGACCCCACCCCAGGATCTTTTTCCTTTGCATTGAGCTTTATAGGCACCAACAGAAATCCCCTGTGGAACAGGCCTCCAGCACTGATAGCTAAATAATGATTACAACAACATCAGCTCCTTTAGTGATACCTAACAATTAGAGGCCAGAGGACACTGGATAGTTCACATCACGCAGCCAAAAGCCGCTGTGTCAAAACAATGTGACTATTCGCTAAACAAGATTATCCTTAGAAGATGTTATGGCTTCAGCTCAAATGTTTTACACTTTGTGGTCAAAGCAATGCGAGACCAGTTTCAGAGGCTTTAAAATGATAAATATGTTCAATGAAATATAAACCTAGTCCAGGAGGAGCTATGAGCCAGCTCCCCAGTCAACGCTGGGGCCAACAAAACAAATCAAAATGCAATGTACTACTCGTCTCTAAATAAACAATGTGGTTGTTTACTGAGGTGTTGCAGCTGCAGTACTCTACTTCCCTGTGCCAATCCCCAAAGAGCAATGCAAGGATGTGATTATTTTTAATATTCTCAAGGTAAACCGCCAGGCTTTGGCAACTCTGGGCTGTATTACCAAGTGGAAACCTCAAACAAGAAACAGAGCTCCATACAACAGCACTGGTCAACAGATGTAGAAATCATTGTCTGATCTGCATGCAGTCAATTTTTCTAGAGTATATTCTTCATTTTGTAGAATTAATCACAATTAATTGGTCTTTGACAAAGCAATCTCACCTCAGAGTCCAATTAGAAGCTGTTTTGGAGTGTTTGATCATATCACATGACCCTAAGATCGACAGAGTTTGCCAGGTGACATTCGTGTTCACATTTCTATTTTTCTGTTCAGTTTAAGAATTGCAATTTCAGTTTTAAGATGACAGCAGGGATGACTGTTTATGTAACATTATTCACTAGAATCATGATGTGTGCATGGTTTAATTTTGAATAAAATGGGGAAACCCTTCATTTTTAATAATAATTGATATTTTCATCATTAATATTATTAACTGAACAATGTTACCCAGCACTCAATTTGACCAAAACTCAAATCAAAAAACTGAAATTTTTCTTGTATATACTGTATGTTTCACATTTGTGAAGCAATGATAACAAGTTTGTTTGGAATAAATACAGGAATGATTCATTATTCAACAGGTGAACACACAACAATAGAGAGTGAGCACACTGACTGAAAAGCTGCCTCATACACACAACCACCTGACCAGAGAAGTCAGAGGTCAGGGGGCAGGGTCAGCTACAGCACATCGCCCCTAAGGAGAAACTCTGAAGAGCTGATTTACTGCACTGACCGTAAATGTACTTCAGCCAAGCTGACTCTTGAGTGATCAGTTTTAAAAAGTGATTTATATAAAGAGCGCCATGAATCCCACACTAGATGCACTATGATGTATATGGACTCATTTATAGCACACACTAAAGGAAAGGTGCCCCCCTAGTGGTCAAAAGTATTTATTACACATACTTAGATTTACAGCTAAACACTGGAATATAATTTTGTGCAAGAAAGCTTTTTTGTGGCACGCTGCTCTGCCACAAAATGTCTCAGTGCCATCAGTACCTCAGTCTTTCTAGTCACCAATAGGATCTGTTGATGGAAATAATAATGCTGCTCTCCACAGCTGTAAAACAAGGCACTGACATCAAATTCATTTGGGTTCCAGATCATGTTGGTATAGTAGGAAATGAAAGAGTTGACAGATTAGCCAAAAAAGAAATATATAAGTCAGCATTAAACTTTCAAAGACAAAGGGAAAGGGCATTGTATAGAGGGCAAGTAATAGAAAATCGCAACAGTACTGGGATCAAGCAAGGGAAGGCATTTACAGTACATTTAATCCAACCTAAAGTAAGGACAATGAGAAGTTTATAACCAGACTGTGAATATGGCACAGTAATCTGAACAGTATGATTCACAGAATAAGTAAGCATCCAAATGGACTTTGTGACATCTGTAAAGATTTTGAAACAGTTGGGCGTGTGATAATGGACTGCAGAAAGAGAGGATATGATAAATAGCTCAGAACATATGGATTATTAGGAATGGGAATACAAAACATACTGGATTATTGGGGTCAAAATAGAAGGATTTTGTTCAACTTTCTAAGAAGAACTGGACTGATTAATATAATCTGACGATATGGAAAAGAAGGAGATCGATAACTAAAGATGGCAGTAATGCTGCAACATCGTGGATGCCAACTGCCCATAATATACTCAAATGAAGAAGAATACATCTGTTTTGTGACGTCATTACACTGCGCCTCACAGAAATCTCTGAAAGCGGTAAGCATTTTACATCTACAAATTAATATTATGGCACTGTTTTATTCAAAGCTAAACAATTTTTCCTTTGTGCTTGTGTGATCAGTTTACAAGAGTAGTTGCTTGCCAAATGTGAAAGTATCAAGGAACTGCGGCGACTGAAATTTTGTTGATTCATCTCCATTTGTGTTTACAGTTAACTGGGCAGCAGTTTAACTAAAAACGAGCAATTTCTTTAAAAATTAACTGTAGCATAAATCTGAACAACCCGATCCCATAATAAGAGTGTAATACCAACCTTAGTTGGACATGACACACCGTATCAGTTCTTATTTGCGTCTCTTTCACTTTCAATGCCAGCCGCAGATGACAAAGCAAATGTGACGGCAATGTTATAACTAGCTAACGTTAGGCTAACTGGTTAGCTCCCCAAACACTAGTCCTCACAAACACACTCATATTTGTTTATATTTGTTTTCCGCAGTGTCAGAGGGTGGGTGATTGCAGTCTCCAAGAATGGTGAGTTAACTGGACTGTTAACTTGGACTTTGGTTTGTTTTTTTTGTAAAGACGATGTGCTGCGTGGCTTCCTTCTTTTTCCTTCTCATGAGGTTAAAAACCAGACTCTGCAGCCAGTCAGCCCCTTGACAGGAGGTACTGCTGTACCTCGCAGCACTTTATTGCTTCTTTTCTTGGCAACAAGAAAAGGGAAAAACACCCCTTTGCCCCAAAGTTTATAAGGGGTGACTGTGATAACACTTAAGAGGAACTGTAATACACCTTACAGTATATGGAATTTCTCCGAGCTCTCAAATCTGTGTTTTAAAGTTAAATAAGTTCTGATTACTTTTCCTCTCCTCTGTGTCCTCACAGTCTCGTCGATATGATTCACGAACAACCATCTTCTCACCAGAAGGTAAGAAATATTACATAATATATCTGATGAGACTGCAGGATCTTTACTGTGTGAAGGTTTTCATTTATTCATCCTAATTTTAAGACAGGTGAAGGTTAGCTTGGTTCTTAAATGTCTTGCCTTTAGTGCTTTGTGTTCTTGACAGTCCAGTATGTCATTTGCAGGTCGTCTGTACCAGGTTGAATATGCCATGGAAGCCATCGGCCATGCTGGCACCTGCCTGGGAATCTTAGCCAAAGATGGAGTGCTTCTGGCTGCGGAGAGGAGGAACATCCACAAACTGCTGGATGAAGTGTTTTTCTCAGAGAAAATCTATAAGCTGAATGAGTGAGTTTCTTAAGCTATTTTAAAAAAAAATTTGCATTATTAAAAAAATTGTAGCTGCAGTGACATCTTTATAATTGCTTACAGCCTGTGACTGGATCAGATTATCACATATAAAGAGACAAGAAATTCACTGTTATTGCACTAATCCTACATCTTCCCATTACCTCCCAGAGACATGGCATGCAGTGTGGCAGGAATTACATCAGATGCCAACGTCTTGACCAATGAGCTGAGGCTTATAGCACAGAGGTGAGCTCTGACATGGAAGCTTGTGCCACTTCAGCCACACTGTTCTTTCATTTCTGCAGCAACTAAAAGGTCTTCTAGAGGGACAAAATACAAATATGATTATGATGAGCTGTGTTGCTGTTGCAGATACCTACTGCAGTACCAGGAGCCAATCCCCTGTGAGCAGCTGGTCACAGCATTGTGTGACATCAAACAGGCCTACACACAGTTTGGAGGTACAGAACAGCACCACACAATTAAAGCATGTTCACATTTATATGTCAGTATATTGTAGTTTTTACACCTTATGTGTAGTTACTTAGTGTACCTATTTCTAGTTAATATATTTTGGTCTCCTATTAAAAGCTGTGATCTGTTTGCGCATTCACGTGCCTGAAATGTATTGTCGAATGGGAACCTGCTATAACAGCATTCAGTTCTGTCTTAGAGAGCAAAGTCATTCATTTGCAGAAGCTGGCTCAAGTAGCATCCTGTCAGACCAGCTTTATGATAATGTAGCAGGTATTTTTGAAAAGTATCTAAACTTTTCATCTATATTTTGTCAGTCAGCAACTCATAAATCATTAGGAATCTTATTTTTTAGTCTCCCACATGGGGATGTTTTCTTTCTCTCCATTATGGTTAATTTAACTATTTGACAAATTGTTTTACTTTTCTCTTTGCATCAACATGAATGCAGTGTCATTTTGCATGTGCTTGCTCACAGGAAAGCGTCCGTTTGGAGTCTCCCTGCTCTACATGGGCTGGGATAAACACTACGGCTTCCAGCTCTACCAGAGTGACCCAAGTGGTAACTATGGAGGCTGGAAGGCCACCTGCATCGGAAACATCGGAAACAACAGTGCTGTAAGTCTCACAAGAATTTATTAAAGCATGTGTCCACTTCTCTACAACTGAAGAAATATTAACGTGGATTGAATTTGCAGTAAAACACCAGTCTGCAGTCCTACATACAGTGAGGAACAGAAGTATTTGAACACCCTGCGATTTTGCAAGTTTTCCCACTTAGAAATCATGGAGGGGTCTGAAATTCACATTGTAGGTTCATTCCCACTCTGAGAGACAGAATTTTAAAAAAAATTCAGGAAATCACATTATATGATTTTTAAAGAATTTATTTGTCTTGCACTGCTGAACATAAGTATTTGAACACCTGAGAAAATCAGTGTTAATATTTGGTACAGAAACCTTTGTTTGCAATTACAGAGGTCAAATGTTTCCTGTAGTTCTTGACCAGGTTTGCACACACTGCAACAGGGATTTTGGCCCACTCCTCCACACAGATCTCCTCTAGATCTGTCAGGTTTCGGGGCTGTCGCTGAGCAACGCGGAGTTTAAGCTCCCTCCAAAGATGTTCTATTGGATTGAGGTCTGGAGACTGGCTAGGCCACTCCAGAACCTTGATATGCTTCTTACGGAGCCACTCCTTGGTTATCCTGGCTGTGTGCTGCGGGTCGTTGTCATGTTGGAAG